CCCCCCCCCCCCCCCCCCCATCCATTATTAATGACCGGTCCCTATATGCGATCGTACACGTATCTAGACGTGTACCAAAGCTCGTAGAACAGAACGCCGAAATTTACATGTATGCAGATGGTACTATAAATAATCAGTACTAATAAATAGGGATTATAGTGCATTATGATTTAGACTATAGCCCAAATTTACTATACTATACCGCATTCCAATTAGACTATACCTATAAAATTACACGCGCATAGTTAGTTATTAAAGTTGCAGTTATAATTTATAGTTATAAAAATTCAGTTAAAGTTGCAGTTAAGGTGGCTCTGATACAGTTTTTAAAAAAAATGGAAAATTCATGATTTAGATCCGTATTTTTGGACATTTATTACTTGTTGAAAAACAAAAAGTATCTTACTGATGTAAACCAACATCTAACGGAATTCGGAATTTTTTAACAAAAGTTACAGAACTGCCGTTGTGTATTTATTACGTATCTTCAAATTTACGAATGATCACTTTTACGTAATTTGAAAATTTTTGGCTCAACAGAATTTTTTAAAAATTGTCACAAATAGTTGAGTATATGAAGAGAAATCATTTTATGAAATAAAATTTATGGGTCACGATGTCGGTTACGGGTTAGTTACTTTGAAGCCAAAATATCAGCCATGTTGAAGCATCATTGTTGCCATAGCAACGGTAGTTGCGTAACTTTTGTGAAAAATTTCTTAGAAGTTGTTTTACATAAATAAGATACCTTACGTTGTGAACAAGTAATAGATAAATAGGATACCTTTTCTTGTTAAACAAGTAAGACTCCACAAATACGGATCTAAATCGCAAATTTTCCATTTTTAATTTAAAAAACATATCGATCGAGTCACTTTAAATATAGTTCATTTGTGATTTTTAATTTTATTTTTAATTTTATTTTTAATTCGAAATATTTTATGTCCAACTATCCCCCCCCCCAATTCCTACCTGATAACTTACAGAACTAAAAAAAATTATATAAGAAGGCATCCATGGCATTTAGTAGATAAACAAAATTTCGAAAATAGAACCCTCTCTCTCCCTTGTACGTAAAGAACAATGGAAATGACGTCATTTAAACAACCGGTATAAAATATATATGCAAAAACTGCGTCCGTACTAAATCGATCACCCCTAATATAGGATTCGGTTACTCTAAGTGTTTTTTAAAATAACATAAAAATTGTATGAACGTTCGTTTCAGAGAAATGATTGTTGTGCAATTGAAATATGCATACTTCTTTATTTATTCCTTTGTGTTTGTGGACTTGTCAGCTTTTAGATTTCCTTCTTTCAGCCATATCATAAGCGACAACGTCTTGTGAAGCTACCATCAGCTGCACGACGTTCACCAATTGTTTGAAGAAACATATCGGGAAACTGACGTAGACAAGCAACGACCACAAACCAACTGGAGCGTTGTTTAATGTGAACACTAAAAAAATGGAAATCGAGCGTACTAATAGAGCAAACCATGCAATTCATATATACCAGCCCATAAAGAATATACTAGTATGCCATTCCATATACCCCAGCCTAGACTCAGGGCCCGCTTTCGGCAATGGCTAACTGTTCAAAGCTGGATTAACGTTAACCTTGGTGTTTCTGGCACTTTCTGTATGTTCATTTGTTTTGAACTTTTCAAAATAAAATTTCTATTGATCTAGACATCATTCAATTCCACGGGAAAAAATATCGCCAAGTTTATAAGCCAATCGCATTATCATTAAATCAAGTGTCTTTCTGTATATTTATCGGACGATTATATAAACACGCTTTTTGCCACCCCCGTTGCCCTTTACCAGGAGGGGCAAGGAGGGCAAAGGTGCCCTTTCAATTTAAATTATTGCCTTGGCGAAATAGCGAATTGTCAGAAATGTTAGTGCAATTCGTTTACGAATTTGCTTCAGAAACTGCAAGAAATGCAGTCATCGAGCTTCAAGAATAGCACAATCGCGTGGTGGAGAACCGGCCTCACACCCCTATCATCCAATAAATAGAAAACATGATTAGGCGAACTTTAACTCCCGATGTTTTGCAAACACTTCGTAGTATATATCAATTCAAAAGTGCCCTTTCACGAAAATCCCCCCCCCCTTGCCTCCACATCGTTCCGGCGTCCCTGTTCATACCCCTCCACCCTCAGCTCCAGGATACAGAAATAAGCACTAGTCAATAAATAAGTCAGTTTATTGGAAAAATATATAGTTTCAAAATTGAAAGCAGGGCCAAGCAATATTGATCGTTTTATTTAAACATATGGTGCATTACAAAATTTGCATCCTCCATGCACTTGGTAACCTACCAGTAGGTCCGTGTGAAAAGTGAAGCAAATACAACATCACAAAGAACACTTCGTTTCCCCAGCACATCATGGTCAAAACAGACTAAAACATGAAACATTAGTAAGCTAGGGACGAGCCAACGAGAACTTGCTGTGGGCCCCTGCTGTCATGGGCCCCTAAAATGAAAACATTGGAAAAAATTTAAAAATATAGATTTTAATTTTGAAAATCAAGATTAAGACATTACAATTTATACTGTAAAAATTTAAATTTACGAAAATATTACGGCAAAATTTAACAAAATTGTGTCCGGAAAAATTTTTGTATGTCCGGAAAATATGCCCCCGCCAACAATTTTGGGAAAAAATATTAATATTGAGGCATCTGTCACAGGGCCTGGGCCCCATCACGCCCCCCCCCCATCAGACGTTGCTCATTCGCTGTCCTTTTTAAGACACCAGCACGTCCCTGTTAGTAAGTGCTGATTCACACAGTGCAGCAGTATTTATAGATATTAAAGGTGTAAAAAGAAAGATAATCCAGATTTGAAGTGCTCTTGTGGATTCAATATTGGGTGAACAGATTTAATCTTTTAACAGTAAGAAAGATTAAATAAGATTTTAGGTTTTGAATGACATTCACCTTTTTTGTTTCATTCGAAGCAAAAATGACCAAATACTAGCCGTTTGAAAATTGCTATTCGAAATCACGTTTTGCCTGATACGCTTCACTAAAGCTTGAAACTGAAGTGACTATATTTTAAAAGCCCTAACATGGAATGAAATTAACTTGTTGTTGATAATATCAACAATTAGTTAAATAATTTCGTCCCATGTTATGGGGCTTTCTAAATTAAAATTCATGAATTTTAGATCCAAATATATTTACAGTGTAACATTTCCAATAGTTTTCCACGCAAATTTTCCAACTGTGGAAAAATATGTGTCGCAGGAAATCCACCGCCCTCGCGCCTCAATTTCCTAAGAATATATCACCTAACGGAGGCAAATTTCCTAGGAACGATATGCCTGCACACCCTCCCGCCCCTCCATTGTATTTGACAATTTCCTTTCTAATGTTGCAGAAACGGTATCATTGGACAATATTGAGTCTGAATTTTCTTTCTGTGTAAAAATGTTATAAGCTCACTTAACGCACGCGACCTGACGCGACCTTTTACCTTTTCCTGATTCACCCTGTATATGATCACAAATTTACAATTTATGAAAACGTTGCACGCCTTGTGGTTGGTACCAAAATTTAACTTTCAACGAGATACTGGTTATGCCTTCGAAATAAAACAAAATATCTCTTACATTCGACTCGTAATACAATTTGAGAAAGAAATTGGTTGTAATCTTGTGGCTCTTGTCACCTTTTATCATCGAACTATAGAATGCAAAGACTAATTCAAAAAATGTGTTTGAAACTCAAAAGTTTTGGCAACTACTTTGATTGGACAATATATACCCTTACTAGTTTAACGAGAGGAGGAGGAGGGACCGGGGGGGGGGTATAATGTTTAGTGCAAACAACTTTTACCACAGCAGGCTGGATGATTCCTAGCTGAAGGTTGTGTATTATAATTAGTCGGCCTGGTCGCATGTAGAATGTGTTTACTCTAAGGCCCCAGGTTTCCTCCGGCTACTTCGGTTTTCTCATAGTCCTGTACTACGTGCAATCATTTTCAAAAGTTGTCGGGACACTTGCGGTTTTAGATCATCAGTGGCCATGCAAATCATATTACAAATATTTTTAATCTTCCTCCTCTTCCCTATTAATTCAATATGTTATTTAACCCAATCCAGACATTATAGCACACCAAAGTAAGATGCTAATTACTGCGACCAGGGGTGGTGGAAGGTTTTCAAAATTATAGCAGCTGGACCATCTGTCCCAATACATTTGAAAAATATTGTAGAATGTAGTAACATTGGACGAATATTGTGGATGGTGCATGGTTACATTGATCAAAGCACACTTTATTTAAAGTAAAGTTTATTGACTTTTTAACGTGTAATTTTCATTTGTATTTTGTAAACGAGATTCGAGCTATCTGCATGACGACTCAGTCTCGACTTCCCAATCCCCCCACCACCCCATTTTCCTTAAAATTTCAAATATTTATGAGGAAGTTGCGGAGTTCAGCCGACGTTTAATTCGCTCCAGCAGCTTGCAGGTAAATATACATTGGCTGTTATAAATACCTATACATGTGAAACCAATGACTGCTTACGTCCAGAGAGATAAGGAATTGAAATAGGATGAGATAGGAAGAATAGACATTACTTAACGACACCATTAGACACGTGGTTACACATCTGCAAGACACATTTAGAATTTATATCATTTCACTATTAATTCTCGTTGTTTGACTGAGATATTATCAGATATTACAGATTTATATTGAATATTTATAGAATGTTCTGGAAAATTCCGTGTCTATAACGATAACAATAACTGTTAGTTCAACACATGTAATAACTAATAAGAATAACTTTTGTTTTATTTGAGATGGAATAAAAAAACAGGGTCTGCGTGCGAAGCATTATTAATTTTGCATTTTCCCATTGATTCTTAACCTAACTGTTTAGGGCCGTTATGTTTTGAACTAACCCTATCCAATGAGCGTTACACCACTGAATATAGGTATATAGATTTGGTTATCTCATTTGAAAGAAATTTGAAAATGATATAATTGAGACGATCCTCTCTACTAACCTCCTCCGCAGGCTACTCTGTATTGTCTTATCAAACTTTGGAAATCAAACTTTGGCCGAGCTTCAACCTCTCTACCTTGCTGGAGTTGGTGTTAGAAATATTTAATTTTGACCAGAAACATGCAGCGTGGCGCTATCTTCTTTTTATAATTTGACCTATACTGATTAAATTTACGTTACAATTTCGATGTGGTTGACTCCATTACAACGAGAGAAGTTTCTTTATTATGCTGTGAACCAATTTAAATTGGAACAAGCCTAAGAAGATTGGATTTAAGCTAGCATGAGCTCCACCTTTGAATTTACTATATGAGTAAATTCTTAAACACGTCCGAATTTATCATTATGATAAATTCGCGGCAAATTTTGAATTTATCATAATAATAAATTCGCGGCACCTAACACTAACCCTCACCCTAACCACTAACCACTAACCCCTAACCTCTAATTTTTTTAACTTTTTAAATTTTTTTAACGTTTTTAAAAATCTAACTTTTTAAACTTTTCTTGCTTTTCAAAACTCTTTTAAAACTTTTTTAAAAGCTATTTTTTTAAAAAAGTTGAAAAACTCCCCACCCTGTCTCGCCCGGCCTCCCTTTTAGTGCCATTACATTTATAGCAAGAAACCTTGTGCAATGCTTGTGGTTTTATAATTAACTCTATTGATAAATTCAAAATGTGCCGCGAATTTATCATAATGATAAATTCGGACGTGTTTAAGAATTTACTCATATAGTAAATTCAAAGGTGGAGCTCATGTTGATTTAAGCTCATAATGCATAAAAGAATTTTTTTTTAATCTCAGCTGTGACGTCAATAATGCATATTGGAATACGAAAAAGTTGTAAAAGGTTTTCATAATTATATCGTTTTAAATGTTCTCCGCAAAAAAAGATTAAATGTTTCCAAAATCAGTAAAACTAGTATGGAAGTGGAATATTACCTGTCGATTAGCATATCTAATAAGGCGCCAAACTTTGATGCTAAATACGAGAAAACAAGGAACTTTTAACACTGCACAAAGAGCTTATAAAAGAATAAAATAATAGCTAGGCTATAGTACAAGAACGTTAACTACATGTAGCTAAAGATTTTTGTGTGCAATACTAAACTTACTGCACAAAAATTCGGTCTTTTGATATATATTATACTAATATGTACTAATATATAAGGCTATTTTAATAGCCTTATATATTAGTACATATTAGTATAATATATATCAAAAGACCGAATTTTTATGCAGTAAGTTTACTAGTAGTATAGGCAACTGTGAAACGAACGGTTTTGATCTTAATTTCTGATGAGCGACCCTTTCACGAATATGTCAGCCTTACTTTTGATATGAAAGGAACGTTATTATTAGTCCTGCATGCATGGACAAAACTCTCAATAATAAATGTACAAATTTCACTCATCACTGCACAAACTGGTTATCAATGCCTCTTAATGTACAGTGCTGAGCGATACTATAATCCCAATCTCTGCGAGAAATTCAAGCAGGTGTGCATGGTGATAACTTTTGTTCTGTCGGTATAGTCACGAGGCGTGTACTTATTTTTAGAATCATTGAGTATTTTAATAAAATACAAAACAAGTGAAACTCCAAAAATCGATAACATTTTTATTTATCATAAATAATAAATATTCTATTTAATAATTATTCAACGGTTAAATAAGTAAGTTGGAATATTAAATGGGCAAACCATAGTTGGAATATTAGATGGGCAAACCATAGTTGGAATATTAGATGGGCAAACCCCAACGGCTTCAGCCTTAGGTTTAGGGTTGGGGTTAGGGGGTGGGTGTTAGAGGTTAGGGTTAGGGTGGGGGTTAGGGTTACAACCCAATAACTTATTGCTGATAACGGTTGATAATTACAATACTATATTGTTGATAACGCAAGGAGCGGCTGGATATTTATTTTTTTTATTTATGATAAATAAAAATGTTATCGATTTTTGGAGTTTCACTTGTTTTGTGTACTTATTTAAGCGTTGAAGAATTATTAAATAGAATACTGCCAAAACAATAAACGTGATGTTTTCTACAAACCAAAACAATTGAAACAGTCAATGTTGACAATGTTTGACGGTGTCGGGGTATAGATTCCGATGAGGGATTTGTGGACTGCATGGTTCCCCCGATGTTGGATTCCTGTGTTTAGTTACTTAAAGGGTTATGCAGGTTTTAATCCATAATCAATAACATATAGAGCTTACTCTGGTTCAGCTTTCGAGAAAAATAACCATCGAATTCATCCAGAAATGTGCTGAACAGATAAAGTATCGCAAAAAGGCCCGGATTGTCAGCCATGTAGTAGAACGAAACAGAAGCAAGAAAAATTCGAGCATAATCTGGTGAAAAGAAAACAGAAAATATATATATATATATATATATAGATGACAAAATACAATATTCGTATCAGCCAGTTCGACATTTATATACAACAGAATAGCTGGCTACGATCCGAGAGAAACCAATACTAAAAATGTACTAAAGTAATAAAGTTTTAATTTTCGACTGAATGTCTCAGCCTTCCTATATATATATATATATATATATATATATATATATATATATATATATATATTATTTATATATATATATATATATATATATATATATATATATATATATATATATATATATATATATATATATATATATATATATATATATATATAAAATACACTACACTGATGAATGAGGCCCATAAGGCCGAAACGGTACCGTCTGTAGTTAATTAGCGCCTAAAAATCAGGAAATTTGCATTGGAACAATGCTGGGACATATATAATGAACACATTTGATGTAGGGCTTTTGGTTTACTAAGCTAATCGGTCCAATCTTCGGCTCCAAATAAGCAATACCCATCATACCTTGCGCGCTCAATTTTTAAAATTTAAGATTTTCATGAAAGAGAATCATTTTTGAATTGGCTATGTTCCCCGAATAATTTATTTGAATGAGTTTGTTTTGGCCGTCGTTGTTGCTTTGCCGTCCTGAATCTGAAGGTCTCTATTGACTGCCTGTAGGACCGAAACATAGCCTCGTTTCCTCTGCTCCAGGCTGCTTGACGTTTAGATATTATACTCTCTGGAGTAAGCCAGCGCTTATATAATTATTCTCTGCAGATTTTATGCGCTTCAGAATGACTTCGCAAAAATACCATCGACAACAGAAGAAAAATATTGGAACTGTTCGCTAAAAGAGTCCATATCGGCTACAATGGAGACCAATTAATGCTGGATA